AGGGCAGGGTCTGGAGATGAGGTCAAGGGGAGGACGAGTCAGCCAGAGGACACAGATGAGAAGGAACGGAGTGAGGAAGACGGATGGGACGCGTGGGCCCGTCCGTTCATCATTACCGGACTGTGTATTTGTGTTTATTTGTCAATGAATGTGTTTAAACAAAAAGTTCAAGTCTTAAAATGTGTGTATTTTTGTAAAGTGGGAGCTCTGGGGATGGTGGGCCTCACTCTGCCTGCATCTGGCTTTATCAGACCAGGAGTCAGTAACATCTGGACCACTTTCCCCCCCTACCAGACCCAGACTGCTAAACATGTTATCTGACGTGCTGAAAAGCATCTCTGGAAATGTCAGCGATCATGCTGCATGGCGGGTGTGTTCTGCCTACATTTGAGGGGAACAACAGCCATTTAGTTTCCTTCCAAACATTTAAAGAAGCAAATCCACATTTGGTACATTTGAGAAAGAACTCATGAAAGTTGAGGCTCGCTTTAGTGTTGGGGTAGTGCCAGTCTCTGTACAAATCTCAGTCTTAACATGCCACATCCAAAGTGCATCAGCTTTAAAAGCATAGATCAGGGTCTTTGTCCATGGTCCAGGAAACTTCTCTACAGTAACATGCTGCCAGCAGTTCTTCCTCGTCTGTGAGGGCTGAACTGCCTGAGTTTGTATTAAACTGAACAAAAAGTGTAATGCAATTAATATACAGATAAATGAACAAATAACTGACATGAATGAAGAAATCAGGCTGTTCATGGGCTGGTGTGCTCACCAGGACCAGAGCAACCCTTCAATGAAGTCAACAGGAAATGCAGAAAAGATCAAATCCACAAAGATGAAGGTAGCATTGTAAAAGGACATGGTTTTAGTTGTAATATTATATAATACCCAATATTATAGTCTGGACATCATCAAACTATTCCCCATTTGGCAGTGGGGACAGGATTTGTGATTCACTCAAAATGATGTTATTTAGGACGACCCTCCACGGATTTAATTCAAAAGTGTTTAGTTAAAGAGTTGTAAAGTTATGAAGCGACTGAGTCATGAGTTGGACCTGAGGTTGGATCTTATGGTTGAAACATACCATACCACACTATTTATATTCACACAGTTAAAAGACAGGATAGTAACTAAGGCTCATAACAGAACCATAAAACACTGAAAACAGGGAGAAAATTGAAAGAGAACTTAGTAAAAATACACTGAATAAACAGTGAGAAGCAATCAATGTCAGTCTCAAACTGGGTTAAAAGCAAAGAATATAAATGTGTCTCAAACAAGATTTAAAGAAAAAAGGAAAAGGACTGAAAGCCCAGTTTCTAACTCCTACGTGAAGGCAGCTGTCCTCTTTACTCGTTTTTGTGAATTATTGCCTATCGATTTGTTTTTGAATGGAGGACTTTCTGATATTGATTGGTAGAATGGCGGTTACCTTTGGGAGTTCTCATCTGAGTGAATGCAGCGGATGTAGACTTAAACATGCATAAAAAAATAATAATTTTACATCATAATATAATAACCAGTCATGGTAAAATCAAAGGAAAGCTCCTGTCTAACAACTGTGTGCAGATTTAGATCAAAGCGGTTCACTTTTAAGTGGATTTCGACGCAACAAATTCACAGTCTAATGTGGATGGAGCAGCTGAACTAGACTCAGTATCAGATAAAGATAAAAATATCTGCATTTTTAAATGTTATTGAGTTCAAACCTTTTACCCACCCAAATACATTTGTCGTCTATTTTATTTAGTCCCATCAGCTGAGATAAAAACTGACTTAATCACAGTTCCGTCTCCTTTTCTTCTCATTGGTGAGTCATTGGCGGTCAACTGGATTTTTAACAGCATTTCCATGTTGTACAAATGTTGCCAGAATGTGTTGGACTTTGTCTCCATGAGCCCCTGTGTGGCTCCGCTTTGGGCAGTGAGACAGCACAGAGTAGCTCCATCACTCTGTTGGTCAGCTGTCGGGATACTGCCAAAGCCATCTGATCCCAGATCCCTGAGCAGGCAGCAGTGGGGGACCACTACCTGTGACCCTCAGACGGTCCTGAGAGACCATCAGGACCATGGCTGACAGAACAAGGCCCCCTCTACACTTCTGAGATTTCTCCTTAACGTGAGGGAGCGAGCCTCAGAGCTGTTAGAGAACTGGATGCGTCTGTGTATTGAAGTTTCTAGAGAGTTAAAATAATGCTGTGATGGATGTGGACCAGGCCAGATCCTTCTCTCTGGCCGCAGTGTGAAGAGAAGCCAGTGGCTTTGACCCCAGCATGACGGTGGCTCCCTCATCCATCTGGTGAAGGGACTCCGCTTGGTCTGAAACAAGATGGCGGTTTCTGAGGGGTGAAGCGTGAACTCATGTGTGACACGTGTGTTAGCATGAAAGGCTGCTCTGTAGTGGTGTCTGCCCCTGCCTGCATGTGGTGGAACTCACTACATCTCCTCTTATCTTTTATTCGGATTCACAGACACTTTATTACTCTTCTCCAGGCACTGATTTTCTATTTAAATGTATCTGTTATACAGTCAATTCTCAAGATGAATACGGGAGTTCCAGCTGTAAAAAAGGCTTACAGTACACAGACTTAAGAGGCTTGTCAGAGAGGATTTATTGTCAGCTTTATGGTGAGTCACCATGGTCTGGAAATAATTCACAGCTGTCAAACATCTGTGAAGACAGAATTCTGAGATTTTTGTCTATATGGCTCGACTAGATCACAAGGCTCTGCAGTTTGAAGTTAAATAAAGGTCAATCTCTTCTCTTAACTGTAGGAGGCTGAATCGGGTTGAGGTTGGTCTTGCAGGGTTAGCTTTAACAGAGCAACAACACAACCAGAACATTGGTGGAGGACAGGACATGATGCTAGCTGCTTTATACAGTTTACAGAGACATGTGCTCTGCACTGACTTTATGTGTGTGTGGGGTTGTTAAGAATCTCCTCTGTGTAAGCCCTGAAGGTTGGCCCAGAATTCACTGTCATTTCTCATCCTAATGGTTCCTGCCACAATCTCTAGCCAACACACTGCTGGAGAAAAACCAAGAGCCAGGAGGAGAAAAGAAAACTCAACAGACATTCAATCTGTCCTGTACTGCATCTCTGAGCAAATATCCCATTCTCTATAGTTTGTAGAAACGAAACAATAAAATGACTCATGTCACCACTTTGAAGTCTTTAGCTATATATATAAATATAAATGACATAGCTTGTGCGGTAAACATGTTGGTGACCAGTCCTAAATCTGACTACAATGCATAGTCAGATGGCTGGCTGTCAGTTAAAGATGGATAGGACAAAGAAAAGTAAAAACCTCCTGTTCACCAGATGAAAGATCTGTTGCACAGAGAGGAGTTTTTTCTGGCATACACGGTGTTGTTGAAACATGTTTCAGAGCATTGCTCAGACGACATTTTACAGCAACCACCTTCTCCAGCCTTTAAACTCTTTTAGTGGAAGGCTAGCTGTTTGGGCTTTTTAAGGTAGTTAGGACCCAAAGAGGAGCTGAGGTGAAAGATAAGGGATTTATTCACAATGGAAGCCAAAGCAGGTGCAGAAGTTGAGGTCTGGTTTTTCCTCCTCTGTGGAAATTCTCTGAGGTGGAGAGGACAAACGGGGCTGCTTGAATCTCAGAGATCTGACCTTACAAAGGGATTTATGTGACCAGTGGCTGGTGACAGTGGCTGAATGCTGCTGGTGCCAGTTGGTGATGCAGGATTTGGCCCGTGTGGTCCTAGTGAGCCACAACAACCACCTGCCGTTGATCACAGTGTGCAGAAGCTGGTGTACAGCTGCCACCTGACTGGAAACCATCCGCCTGTTGGAATAAAACACACGACTGGGCTGAAGGCTTTGCAGAACTGGGTGTCTGGGACCCTTTTCATGATGATTGATGGGTTATCAGGAGGTTTATAGGTGAGTTTCTGAGCTGTGGTTGGTGGATGGTAAAAACTTTGGATTACTCAAAAAACAAATCTCAGCTTTCCAAATGTACTCTGCATGTGCTACCACTTAGTGGAAACACCATGAAACCATTTCTACACCAGCTGACAGCCTCAAGTGAGCCACTAAGCTGTGTTTAGGAAGCAACCAACTGCTCCTCACTGCTCCAACCAACACCACACAGACCCAAACAAACGGGGCTAAACTGGTGACTCCACTAACAAAAGCCATCCCGATGGAGGGCCATTAGTTTTACATGTGGATACATTCCGGGGATGCTCTAATCAGACCCTGTTGGTGGACTGCAGCATCCTGATCATCTACAGGCCTGCCTGGCTCAGACTTTGTGCTGATTTGCCTGGTTTCTGGTGACTACTTTGGTCATTTTTGAGTCTTTCATGATCAGCACAGTTGCATGTTCTGCGCATCCCAGCGACTCTTGGCGATCCCAAGAGACCATGAGAAACCTGGAAGACTCAGGATCAGGTAGACCCTCCCCACTTTGCTTCATGAGAGGAAGAGAAGTACACCATGCATCTTGTTCTGGCTTTTCTTCTGCTTTTATCTGCGTTCACATTCAGCTCTGTGTTGTAATCCACATTGACTTCTTTCTGATTTGCTGGCTAATGGATTTTTTTTACATTTCATTCATAACACATCAGAGTTTTATGAGACATTCTCATTATAGGGGTGAGTTCCCTCCCTTCTTTTGTTCGGTCTATAAAGTGTCGTCAAAACCAGTGTGAAGGTCACAAATTTGCAAATGATTTGGCGATTGAGTCCCTGCTTTGTAATGAGAGTGTGCATCATGGTGCTGTGAGAGCGGCCATGGATCAGTGCCAAGCTGCCCAGCTGGTAGCTGATGTGCCCAAATAAAAGGAAACACTGGTGGATTTCTGGGTGTTTCCACAGACAGGCAGGCAGTAGAGACTGTACGGTATGTCAGTGATGGAAGTGACGTCTGAAAATATTGATCCAGAGATCTAAAACAGAGTCAAACATCCTGAATGTAGAGAATAGCTGAATACAGACAGGGAGCCAACAGCAACCGAGGAACTCAATGAGGGTCCAGCCTCACATCCATCCATCCATCCATCCATCCATCCATCCATCCATCCATCCATCCATCCATCCATCCATCCATCCATCCATCCATCCATCCATCCATCCGTCCATCCATCCGTCCATCCGTCCGTCCGTCCATCCATCCATCCATCCATCCATCCATCCATCCATCCATCCATCCATCCAATTTCTATCCATTCATCCATTTTCAGTCCCCCCCATAGACCACGGGGGGTGGAGCAAAGCACCCATATGACATCTGCCTCCTTCCCCTGAATCCTCCCTGGATACCCTTTTTTTTAATGTTTTCTGGATCAGAACGTGCACTTAACCTCTGTCAGACATGACAGCTGGCTCATGTTAAACAGTAGGCATGAGCGTTGGACCCTGCTGTATAGATCTGTATAGATCAATGTTATGGTATTGTTCCACTTAGTACAGAGCGAAGAAATGGATCATGCATCAAATATCCATCCATCCACTATCTGCTGCGCTTTTTCCCATCTCAGGGTCGTTTTGGGTAAAAGCATCTCCATAAACATCACAAACATGACAAATGCATGTGTATCCTAAGGCCAAATGTAAAAATGTAAACATGTACTGGATGATGCCCCCCCCCACAGAGTATGTGACAACTACAACTGTTAGAAGAGCCAGCTTTCATCTAGCAGGCAGGGTGCCTCCTTTAGGTCATTTGAATGTGTGTAGGGCACCCAAAAGCCTTTACAGATGATATTTCCCAGACACATTTTCATTTACAAACCTTAAACGGTCCATGATAAGCATGCGTTTTTCGTCTGGAGGAATACTCGTTGGCCCAATTGAAGATCGAATTCAAGAAAAACACATCAGCACGAGGAATTCAAAGCTGAAATTTAAGGACGTTTCTGGATGGTTTAATGGGCACGTTGGGTGAAAAGCAGATTTGGAAACTCTGTCAAAGAAATGCTTCTTCTCCTGTGTATGAAGTGTGTTGTCCCCTTTTAGGCTGTCAGATCAGTGGGAACGGTTCAGACTTTTGTAAAAGTCTGAAAATGTTTCTCAGTGGTGTCGTGGGGACAAAGCAACAAATAGAGGAGCAGAGAGCTGGATTCAGACAGCCAGCGGCAGGCAGAGAACAGCAGAGATGAGGTAACTGATCTTTCATCATTGTTAGGGAATATGGAGCTCTTTCACATTGTAATTTCCAGATAAGTAAAGAGAGCCATCTTAAGCTGCATAATGAGTTTGGTTGTTCATGAATGTAGAAGAGTATTCCAATCCAAACAGCGCTCACATTTGGTGAGACAGGAAAGACTGGATGAAGAATAAAAAGACTAAAGCAACAGTCCCCTTCTACGGGGTTTTGGTCTCTGCCCCCCCCTCACTAAGCTGGAAGGAGATGTTTAGAAGGCTCCCTTTTCCCCACAAGACTTCAGGTTCTGTGCTGATTCTCAATAAATTCATTGCTGTTACTTCAGACTTTTAAATATCTGCAGTCTTCTCAGCCAAGCGTGGAGCATTTTTTTGTTGTCATAAAAGGAAACAGCATCTCGTGCTGTTTCTACCAACAAGCTGAAGAGGACAGTTGACTAAAGTCCTCACATTCTTGTAGTTTTCATGTATTTGGAGTTCTGCTGTTTGTGCTGAGCATGCAATTGTTCTTCAAGCCTTAAAAGGTGCTCTGCAGACTTTTGGGACCCCTCTGGGAGCTTTGTATGACCCCCGAGGCTTCTTCCTGGCACTGTCTGAGACAGGACATGGAAAGTCTCGGCTGACCGGATTCATCCTCCACCTGGTTTAGTGTGGGAATTTCTGTGAGAGCCTCCGTGATGCTTTTCTTTCAGGCAAAGCCTTTGCTGCAGGATAATGACTGGGTTGGGATTAGAGTGTCATTGCCAGATTTTAGAACCTTGTTATCATGAGCCGGGTTTTTTCTAATTAGGTCAAAAAGCGATTTCCATTCCTTCATTTCACAGAGAAACATCTGAGTTTTGCTGCAGCGGTTTGGTGCAGCCCTGCATACCAATGCCCTCCACCAGGCCAAAGGCTGGAGGACCGGCTCAGCAGACACAATCACATCTCAGTCTAATTAAACTCAAGACTCACCGAGGCTCTTCTTTTTGCCGGAGCTGCCACTACTGAATATTTCACCTGCACAGGTAATCAGATTCGTGATTCCATGTTTTGGACTGTGATGAGAAAGGAGCCCTCATTAGTGGATTACCCGGCGGGGTGCTGGTAGATGCTGACAGCTGGACTCTGGGTCTGTGTGGACAGGAGCGGGCTGCAGTGTTTGCTGATCAGTGGACAGCTCAACACTCCTATCAGCACTGATTGCATCCATTTGAGCCCTCTTAGTGCAGAGTGACCCTTGGGTATGTGACATAACAGGCTCTGCTACACTGCGAATTCTCTCAGCATTTCTCTTGTTTGTTGTTTCATGACTTAAATGGGATTTGTTCCATTTTTTGGTTTAGTCTGAAGAAGTACTGAGCTGTATTTTTCTTTTGTTTGTCCTCTGTGATGTGCTCCATTTTTTCCTGATTCAAGGGGAACTTTGTAAGATCGTCTAATCCTTTGAGATGCCCTTATACTTTGATCATGTCCATGTATCCTTTATTCTGTCTTTGTAACTTACAGAGGCTTCTGATCTATTTGGCACCTGGGATGTTTGGTCAAGGCCCTTTAAGGATAGCAGAAAACTTAAATATAGAGGATGCTTGCAACTGTACCACAACCAAAAGTCAGGTTGAGACTCTGTAATGCTCGTCAGAGTGCATCTACCCGAGAGTTTGGAACTCCTTTAAGCTGAGATAGGGCTACCAGCAGCTTCAGGCCGCTCTGCTCATCACACCACTGCTCACATCACACCATTTAAGCAAGCGCGAGAGAGCCAGAGTCTGCAAAGCCACTGGGGGGGTCTGCATGGTTAATGATGGAAGCCATCATCATAAAGAGGTGGAAGAACATGCTCTGAGCACACAGGCCGCCAGCAACTCGCCTGAGATGGTTTTGTTTTGCTCTTCCTGGACCTTGTCGATCACCAGTGGAATGTTCTGTTTTCTCAAGATAACAAAGCAGATTTTTATGACAACTTAATCTATCTTCTTTTCCTTGGAATCTGCTTTCATTTTATTGAGGTCACAATGGAAAGTGATCTGTTATCATAAGAAAATTAACTTTGGTTTACGAGATCTCGAGAAGATAACAGCGAGCTCAGAAGTAAGTAGCTCTGGTGTTATCGGACAGCTCCATCGTTTGTGTCGCGACGATGTGTCATGACATTTGGAGGGATCTAAAACAGTAGTCATGTTTTTAAACTCTGTTTTCTGCCGGTAAGCAAACGCCTGCTTTTTAGTTCAGTCTGTGGGCATAGATAAGAGTTTAATGAAGCTCGCTCTGCTTCAGTTAGCTGCCCTGCATCAAATTCACTGTTTGCAGTACAGGAAAACAAACTTTACTCGACCAAACTAACAGATAATATTAAGTCTTTATCTAAAAAAGCAAGTGTTGTAATCTGAAGATAAGTCAAATGTATCCATTATCACAACAAAATAATCCTTCTTATCTCAAGGTAAATAACTGGATCTTAAGATGATAAAAAAAAGACTCAAGCAGCCTCTTTAGCTAAACCACTACTCAGTCTCATTAGTCTGATTTGATCCAGTCTCAAGAACTGCAAGAACTTTGATTTATAGTCCAATTCAACTCAGTTATGACTGATAATGATTGAGCTGCAATCAAATAAGTTTGATTTGTCCAATTTACAAACATTTTTAATTTCAAATCACAATACGATGCAAAGAGAGCACCATGCGTCCAGCAGTGAGCAAGTAGACCGGTCTGCACCGGAAACACAAACGAATATAACTCGTTCCGGGACCGACTTCGTATGTTAAGATATTCATGTGTTGGTTCAAATCTTCCTATCAGAATACACTGTAATGCCTGGAATTGGTTTCACAGCCCCAAAACCTACGATAACTCCTTAATGAATACTCAAACTTTCACCACATGAACTTTGAACCAACTGAGCTTATTTATTTTTATATTTAATCATTTGTTTTAGCTTATTTATTTTTATATTTCAAATTTTTTTCTTTGACTTTGACGTATGTTGGAAATGTACTTCGGATGTCGAGTCGAATATTTGATCAATTTCCACTTTGGATTTTGGAAAATTGGTATGTTTAGGCATGAGAAGTAGAGGTTCTGCTGTAGTGTTAGCCCGATTCTTTAGCTGGAAACCTGAGAATATACCAGAGCAGATCAAGAGTACAAATATGACATTTACTGGTCACAGGTGAAGTATTCTTTGCTGGGTTCTCACAGACAAAGCTCCCGGAGGATCTCAGTCGACAAGAGCCTCGATTTCCGGGTGTGATGGACATTTATCTTCTGGGCTGGGACCCATAGAGGAGGAAGACTGGACACAACCGAGTGTTATTGGTCAGTTACCTCTGACATGAACAGGCCAGCTCCCAATTCATGCAGATGACATTGCAATGTGGCAACAAAGTGTGTGTGTGTGTGTGTGTGTGTGTGTGTTGACCTAAAGACGTGTGTCTACTGAAACAGATATAGATAGAAAATCTGTGGGCTCATCCAGAGCGTTTAACACAAGAGTATATTTCTAAAAGAAATAAAACAATCAGTCATTTACATAGATTATGTTATAGCATACAATGCTAAAGTGAGTAACTAGAGCCCTGTTCTAACAGTAGTTAGATTTAAGACTGATTTCCCACAGAGTTCCCCTTCTCCAAATAAAGCCCTCCGTGTTGGGTCATGAGAGCCTGGTTCGGTCTGAAGTCGGCTGATGTGGAGCGTGTTTAACTGAGAGATAATTACACTATGCAAATAGGCTCAATGTGAACTGGTGGAAAATGAAAATAAACAATAAGTTGGGTTGAAAATAGCATTAAATTGTGTGAAATCTTGGGGTTTTTAATAATCACAGAGGTTATGCTTTTTCAATAAGAATCAGCCAAACAGACGGGCTTTTAATTAAGTCAGACCAAATATGCTGGATTGATCCATCTGGATGGAAAACCTGATCCAACACTCCCAATTATCACAGCCTATTCATCCTCTCCATCAAGTAGATTAAATTAAAGCGGTGCATCGACAAAATCGTCCTCACTCTGGATGCGAGCGACAGAAATTCAAGGGTGCACTTGGCAAATTTGGAACCAACTGTCAGTAAGAGATAACTTGATTTTTTAAATGTAAAGGAATTTAATTAGCTGCACTCACACTGATATAAACGGCACA